GATTTCAAGTTAAATCAGTTTTAAAATAAGACTTCTCATATATATCTTGGATCAAAAGTTATCATTATGACGACATCATATAATATCTCTGACTGTGCATGTATATATATCTGGGTGTGAATGTAAAAACTAGAGGATACCCATACACCTATGTCCACTCTCACACTTTCAAGTTTGTGTTTACGAAAACCATTACCAAATCGATTCTAAATTGACATATAGATTTCAACTATGTTGCAGTGTACATGTTGGTCTATGCGAGAGTAAAAATGTTTTCTTCAGAATGAAATCACTCTTCTATACAAAAGCATCATATTAACTTAGAAATGTTCTTTGTATTTATTAGCATTCATATACATGTGTTCGGAATAGTTATTAGTCTATAATAATATTCTTCAGTTTTTGTTGCACTTCTAATATAAATGCATAGTTGAATAGTGAAGAAGTTGTTCTTACAAAAATAAAACATAAAGTTCAAATCTTATCCCTTGGAAAAGATTATTGTGTTCATGTATGGATGCCTAGTCGTACTTTTTCTTTCACGTCCTTGATATGCATGGACCTGAAGATGTGTTCATATCACATGACTTTCTTTCTATAGACAAAGTGCATAAGTGCTAGTACGAGTTATGTGCACATTCAAAGCAGTTCATACGTTGGACTCATGAAAACCATGCGAATAAGTACACTGGGAAGAATCAGCTGACATAAAATAATAAAAACTTTTCTGCTCAATATGAAAGAATATTCTTTGCCATTGAAGATATCTGAACCTACTTAATCATATAGATTCTCTTTTTTTGCATGTCTACTACAGATTTTATTAGTTAAACTATGAATTTGGATCATGAACTGAACTATTTTGAATGTGAAACTAAAGGAAAAAAACAAAAACATGTATAAAATATGATTAAAATGAGTTTCTCGCATCATAGAATTCCTTCTTATAGTTATAAAAGATGATCAAATCCAATAGAGTATTACTCTCGTTAATTTGTAATAGAAGTGGACTTTTATTACTAATCTGTGCTAAGTGTAATATTTTCCATAAAACATTTCGTTTGTGACCATTCTTACACACATTTGAACAAGGAGTTCAAGATATGCTTCGTTTTTTGTCATCCTAGAATATTTTTGCATGTTCATGCTGATATTTTCGTTGCGAGTAATCGTGAATATAGTTTACCTAATAACAAGTTCAAATGCATATCATGTAAAAGCACATCATGCATATGCTTGTAGCATATTGTAAGCAGTTCTACACGCGTTTTTGTAAGCTGTCACGTTTGATTGGATAGTCGATACAAAACTGACTCATGTGATTTACGTAGTCTTTACAATAAACAAGTGTCTATTATCTGCTTGTGTACATTGATGATGCTTTTGATGACGATGGATATTTTCCTTTGTGTGTAAGTTGATAAATCAATATTATGAAGGTGAAAAATTGTGAGATATCTATTCAATTGAATGTAATTATTGTACAGCGATCTTCGTATTGATCTACTCTCAGGAAATTTTTGAACAAAACTTATTAGTTTGAATTTTTCAAAGAAGATCAGAGACATTGATTAATAATTTGAAAGTAAAAATTAAAAAAATGAAGAATATTCTGCTCAGAAATGAAGTTAAAACTTACAAACAAACAGACATAAGTTATTTTTCATTGTTATAAATATTAGAAACAATAATGTACATTGATAAATTCATTGGCCTAATTGTGCGAATTTTGTTTACAATCAAAGTCAAATTCTAAATTGTTTGATATTCTCGCATGATATTTATTGAGTATTCGAAAAGATCTCTGGTTTATTGAAAGAGAAAAACAAGGAAAAAGAATTAAAATTTGAGGATTAAAGTTCAATTAATTTTAAACCATACATAAGCTTCGATAATCACGTATTTCAAGTCTTTTAACAAATAATACGGAGTTTAACACCATAATGATCCGAAAGACTTGTTATAATCGTTCCATTTGTAGAATTGATTTCTATTCGTCCATCGAATATGCGTCGTGTGAATAATTTTAATGGATTAAATATATGTCCATGTGTAAAGATATGATCAATAATATATTGATTAGTATTATTAACAACAAGATTATCTGTACATATTGTACAACGGCTATGCATTTCTGTATAATCATCATACCATCTTGTTGATCCATTAGTATCATTTAATTGATGTATATAATTCCAACTATCAGGTTGAATTGCTAATACATTATGTTCAACATTAGCAATACCCATATTAAAATCACCTGCCATAATGGCATTTTTATATGTCTGTTGGTTATTACGTAAAAAATTCCAAACAAGAGATTCAAGTTCTATTGTTTGACCTTTATTTTCATCATTCCAACTACCATATGTATTATTGAGAAATGTTCCAATAGATGCATGAGGAAAAGGTGTTTCAACTGTGGCAACATGTGTATTAGCAATAATTAACTGTTTGTTTTCTTGACTAGCAATAATATAACCACGAGGTGCAATATAAAATTCTGAATATAAATTAGCTGCTAGTTTTTTTAATGGATATTGTCTTTTTGATAATATCATTAGACCTATTGAATGATCCCAAGGAGCTTCGGTGGAATTAGGAATAATACCTGGTGAAATACTAATCAATTGAGGTAAATTAATTGCACCACAATAGTTCAAACCTAATCGATCACCACGACTAATAAATCGATCAAAAATACATGCCCAACATCTTGAATTCGTATAAAGAGCAAGAAATTCTGTTCGGCATCGAGCAATGGCACATATAAGTAGTGCTGACTCACTAACATTAGAACAATATGTAAAAAGACATATTTGTATATTCGTTATGTTTGAAGCTACACAAGCAGGGCTATATGTTTGTGTTGATAATGGATCACTACTAATATAGTCACGCATATCATCATTGACAACTTCAAAATGAGGATAAATATCTTTGACGAATTGATAAATTTGACGTAAAATTTGTGGACCACCCCATACTTCTTGTAAACAAAGAATATCAACATTACTCTCACGAATAGCTTGGATAATCGATGATGTCCGTTCAAATGCTTGTTGTTCTTCTAAACCAATATTCCATGTTGCAAATGTCGTCACATTTCTACGAGATTGTGCATAAGTAATTAGTGATATCAATGAAAAAAAATAGATAAACATTGAAGAATACATAATTTGTTGTCTTTTCAATTACAGATTGATACAAGTTGAAAGGACAGACAACACATGGTATGTTTTATACCTTGATGTGACAATACAATACACGTGAATCAATGAAAGAAAAGAGAGTGCATTTTTGACGCATGGTAAACGTGAAATTTTTTCCCATATTTACCATTAATCGTAAACAATCAAAATATAGATCATGACGATGAGTAATTGGATATTTATAAGAAGATTATTACGTTTAAGTGACGTTTTTAGCCATTTGTCAAGTTTATTAAGTATTCTCACGTTGTTGAAATAATTTTTATCAAAACGACTCAAAATATGGATCATTTTCTAATTAATTTATTCGAACAAGTCAATAGTGTAGGCCTTATCGTAGACTGAATTCAGTATGTCAAAAGAATCACATGAAATATTGCTCTTTCATATTGAAGCCTATATATAAACAGAGGAACCTTCTCAGTTGTCTAAATTTAACATTAAAAGTTACAAAATTAATGTTTGTAAAAACTAAATATGTTTCACATCAAGTTTTTAACGATAGTTGCACTATGTATCACCTGTAATTCAATATCAAATCTCTTATTATGATATAATAAATATTTTCGTTGTTATTCAAATATCATGCTTTTCCACACAGAACTAAAAAGTGAAAGGAAATGTTCGTCAATGATTAGCAATAGACATAATAATATCCATCAATAATAGATCTGTACTGTTACAAACGCTTTTCAATCCACAACGAATTTCTATCAGATCTGAATGAAATATGTACCTTAACTGTCCATCGATGGGATTCTACGCTAAAATCAACGAATCATTCCGAGACTATTCTTTACACAGGCAAGCGAGAAGTGTGACAATAGCACGAAACATATGTTGCATAATGATTTAATTTCCCATGGACTTCTAGCATATGTCGAGGAGCTCATATTCTTATTTTTGGGCGCCCAGAACTCTTTACATCTTTGAGAGTTCACAATTTTTTGCAAAAAAAATTCATTCAAAGGCATCCGAACGATAATTAAACCAGCGTATCGAAACCGCTCAGAAGTTCAAATTGCGATGTTTTAGCCTTTTATCTTTAACACATGTATCGAAAACTATTGCAATTAAGTTGAGATTGATTGACATTAATTAAATTATACGAAGATAATATCTTTGGTTTAATGGTTTATATTTCATGCGAGCTGAACCTTGATCAATTATTGTGGTTTATGCCCTTACTATTTCTGCTGTTCAAACACAATGTTACAGTACCATGACATGAGTATCCAAAGAATGTTCCTGATTTTTTTAGGAACAATACATCTATATAACGATTCGTCGGAGAGTTGTTTTTCTTTCTTCTATGTTTCTTGTTGGACATATGCAGGAAAATTCACCAGTTAGTGTCACAATGATCGCATCATGAAAAGTCAAAAGATATTCATTGGAATGCACAATGAATATATCAAGATCGAGTAGACACTCATCGATTTGTTTATTTTCTTGTCTATCTAACATATAATCAAAGCATAAAAGAAAAGGTCTTTACGACCTTTATCTAAGATGACAAATGTTAAATAAAGATCATTTTATAATGTGAAGTATCTATACAAACATAAGCAGATTATAAAAGTAATATGGACAGAGATATTTCACACGAGCCAAGTATTGGTAAGTCTTCAAAGATTTAAAAGCAAACTAGAAATATATCTAATGAGAAATTTGTTGTTATTGTTTATTTTGATATACTAACATATATATCTTGAAACATAGATATTTATGATGACTATTAACATTTCCATGAAAAAGAAATATACCTATTAATAGATTAAAAAAAGTATGCCAGTTAGTTTTATTTTCAAATTACTTTTTACAAGTACAATGAGAAGAAATTTTTCATGGATTTTATTGTTATCTTTACCTACCTCTAGGTGATATTGATTCAATTCATCATTATCGTCCTGTTCAATCTTCTCTTACTATACATCGACGTATATCCATTATATCAATTGCTTAACCAGATCCATTGAAAATTGTATTACCAACAGATGAAGGAACACTGAAAAAACATCTTGGTTTATTTTCAAGAATCTGTTTTATTGTTGGTAGCATCATTGGTAATTGATTACCTTTTATATTGTTTGTTTATTATGAATTGTTTCTGACTATTAGGTTCTGGTATATTTATCTCTTCTAAAGATGTTTTGCCAGAAACACAACCAGTTGGTCTCTGTTTGATTATTTGGGTTGCATGCGGTTTAGTCTCTTCACTCGGTATGTTTTACAATATTTTCTATGTGTAAGAGACAATTTATGTTCTTTTCTTGTTTCAGGAGCACTTTGCTATGCAGAGATCGATACAGTTATATCAAAACATGGAGCAGAAATTGCTTATCTAAAAGAAGGTATATTTAATGTATGGTTTTAAACTTTCAACTTTTCTTCATAAATTGATTTTATATATATGATGAATACATATTTAGATAGTTGACTGAAATATAGAATTGTGTAAAAAAACGACTAAAACTACAATCTGAAAGGAAAGTAGTTCGATTTGCATCGAAATAATGAGAAATTATGATTATTTTATTAATCATGAGTAAGTTTTATGCATCTTGCATTTTTCTATAATATATCAATGTTTGAAATCGAACGGGATAATAATTTCTAGATATTTTGATATAAAAATTATATGAAGCCAAGCACTCTACGAAAAATCTTACATATGTTGTATAAGACAGTTTTTGATACGGGCCAGAGGTACCGATACCAGTACTAATATTTTTTCATTAGGAGTGATATCTTTTATAATCGTGTAAAACTTGTGTCAAATTTCATATCCTCACGACTCATGTGTTCTAAAAGTTCATGCAAACATTATTCAACAACAATCATGTCAATATTTATTGTTATAATTTTGATAGCAAAATGAATCAATTTTTTTCTAAATAACAGAATTGTCGAGCACATAAAGGTATAGAATAAATCAAGTATTTGGAAGTCGTGGTAAATTTCAAATTGTTACTAACTTTTAGTAAACACACTATTAGGTGATTTTTGGCAAAAATAGCCGATGATAAATAATAGAACAGCAAATATCAAAGATAAAAAACAAAATCTTTTATGCCGCTCATATTATCATTTTCTCGGCTATGATGGCAACGACTATTCATTCCACTCCAATGACATAATCTTATGATCACCAGCAACTTAATCAGTATCCCAACTCTAGAAAATCGTATCGCATTTTTCTACTTACGATTGGTCTCGTTCATCAATAAACAGTATGTTTAATTTTCAATAACTTTGGTTGATCGACTATTAGTTGATATTCCGAGACTACCTTATTCTCTCTAACGCTTAATACATGAAATATTTATTTGTCTTTCTTATTTCTTTCAAAATTTGTATTAAAAACTAGATTAGACTTTCTTTTTGATATTCATATTCTCATAGAGTTTGTCGAACTCTATTGAATCATGTAAAAATATTTTAATAAAAAATATTTTGTTTCTGCAGAAAAATGTAAGATGTAAAATGTTTTCTTTTTCTACACATCTTTATATTTCAGTCATTTATCTATATATGTATTCATATAGATAATGTCTGTTTACAGACAAGAATCGAAACTTTTAGACTATTCTTTAGATAGGAAAAATAAAAGATTAAGATTGTTCTAGCATTGTCGAAATGTCATATACATCCATTTCTTTTATTTTATTTTATTTTCAAAGTGCATTAAAAACAATTATTGTGCTAGCATTGGCAGATATTATATTATTTTTTACAAATGATTTGATATAAATATATTCATTAATAAGTATTGGATCGGTTCATGAGAGAACAGGCGATATATTAGCGTATCTTTTCTGTTGGACAAATACATTTATTATGAGACCATCAGGTATTGTAGTTCTTACTGTTAGCTCTGCTCAATACTTTTGGTCTGGTATCATGGAAGGTAAATTGGCTTCTGTAGATAATTGTTCATCTTATACATTTATATGTACATTTAAAATGTGAACCTCCAAAAGAATTGAACAAAATGACAGCTATTTTTGCTCTTTGTATATACATTTTTTTTTGTTTACTTAGTGATTTTTTAATTATCTTTTGTTTTATAGTGATGTTGATCAATATTAATTGTATCAGTGTATCTGTAGCTAATCGTCTTAGTATTATATTTGTTATCAGCAAGGTACCGACTATTATAACAGTAATAATAGCTGGTCTTATACGGATGGGAAAATGCTTATTCTTATTCTATTCGAGAAATTCAAGTAAATCATTAAAGAATTTTTTTTATAGGACATACACAAAACTTGCAAAATAGTTTTGATGGTAGGATGTAGTTGATTATGAAAATCAAGCGAATAACATATTTGCTTACGTATCATATAGGTACGACAAAAATTCCGTTGGATGTTGCACCTGCATGCTACTCTCGCCTTTGAGCATATGATGGATGGAGTTGTCTTAATTCAGTGACAGAAGAACTCAAAGACCCTAAAGATAAGATTTTTCATAGATATGATCTTCTCTAGATAAGTGAACATATTCATGTTGTTACATCGATCCTCGTTTTATTTATTAAAAAAAGCTTAATGTTGATAATATTTTTGTGACCATCCATAGAAGACGTCCTAACACTTACTATGAAGATTTTCGTTTTTTTTCATACAAATTTGCACGAAATTTTAAAATTTAGTTTGTTTTAAAGAGTATTGTTAAATAGGAAATGAATTGAATCAATCACTTGAAATAATTTAAGATTATGTTAGATGAGAAGATAGTTATCTTCTCAAGCTGTAACATGACCGTATTACATTTTTGAGAGTCATTTGCATTGAATTTTAATATATTTTTACTATATTCTGTTCATTAAGAGTGAAGGTATGTCAAAAAAAAAACAAAAACTTTGCCATAGGTCATGAGCAACGTAAGACCATTTTTTAGGGAAAACAATAAATAAATTTTCTCAAAGGCCTATTGCTCATTCGTTTTGATTTTCATGTTAACGGGCATCTCAAATTTGAAAAATTATTCGTTTCTTGAAAAAAAATTACAGGCGTAACAATCAACTGGAATGATCAAGGCGTTATCCTTCAGGTTGTTCACTTAACGGGTGATGCAAAAGTTTCTGAAAAAATATCGCTTCATTTTTCATCATTTATAACATGTTTTGTAAAAATAAAACATACCTATTCAGAATCTACGCTGAAAGCGCTTTTTAATTATGAGTTCAAAAAATTTTAATTCTATCTTACCTTTGAGTAATGACTTGTTGATTTCCGTATCAGCAAACATAAGCAACTATTGAAGATTGACAAACGGATAATGTAAATTCATTCTCAATATATTCAGACATATTCATCTTGCATTTCAGCGAATATACTTTCTAATGTTCTTTTCTCGAGATCATCATGGTGCGAAACGGTAACGTTTGATGTCTACGTGTAGAACTAGATAGTAATCTTTTTATGATTATCAGCAGATGTATTTTCTATCAACGGCATCTATATGAAATCTTGAAGTAGTGAATAAATCCAGAATATTTTTACATGATATAGTCGAGAGCTGAGAAAACAAAATAATTGTCTTATGTTAATTAGTATATCGACAGTTTTTTTGTCTTTTTACAAATATCACTTCTGTACAAATTACAGAGAGCAGCACAAGCAAAACATTTTTCTGGTAAAAAACCTCTTAGTAGAAATTTGCCACTAACGAGAAGTATCTCATCTGGGCGTAAACTAAATTTAGAACTTCTTGATACCTAAAGCATCGATTTTGACTCATTGTTTTGAAAGTACAACTAAAGTCCATAACTGACGCAGAATGTGGAGCAAAGTGTGAGTCATTCTGCGTCTGATAGCATACCAAACAAAAGAACGAAAGATAGTTTCACGGCAAACTGCAATATAGATGCTTCGAACGCACCACATTGACCATAGAGCCTACCAGTTGATTAAATGGTGTTTCTTCGAGACCAATGAAAAATCTCATCGATATGAATCATATTATCCAACGAAAATTGTTTATTTATTTAATTTTTTCAATAAACACTGACCATCATGACTGAAGAATATCGAGGTGTAATGGATTTACATGGTAAAAATGCTGTTGTTACTGGTGCTAGTAGGGGTACTGGTAAAGTGATAGCACTAACATTAGCTAAAGAAGGGTGAATTATTTAGATTTTGAATCGTTTTTTTTTTCTTACTTTAATTCTTTTAGTTGTAATGTTGCTTTGTTAGCACGTTCTCGTGATGCTCTTGAAAGTGTAGCTACAGAATGTTCAACATATGGTGTTAAAACTCATGTTATTATTTGTGATATGTCATCAAAACAATCAGTTGACGATGCATGTAAACAAATTAGTCAAATATTTCAAAATAAATTAGATATACTTATAAATAATGCTGGTACTTTGGGTGAACATGTTTCTGCAATAGAAGAAAAAACACCATCAGGAAAAGACGTAGTAGATATGTGGGAAGAAGTAATGACAGTAAATTTATTAAGTTTAATGCGAATAACAGGACGATGTTTACCAATGATGAAAGAATCTAAACATGGTGCAATTATTACTATGTCATCTCTATCAGCAACGGTAAGAACAAAAAAAGTATAGAAAAAATTCAGTCATTAATTTGACTTATTCGATAAACAAGAAGATTGATTGGTATTTAATTTATAACTTTCATGTGGTTTTTTCTTTTAGATGACCAATGGTGAATTAGCTCAATATTATGCTAGTAATTGGGGAATGAATGGATTTCTTGGTTCAATTTATGAAGGTCTGATAGAATTATTTAATATTTATTTAATTTAATTTTTCTCTTTTTGTTAGATGTTCGTGAATATGGTATTAAAGTTTGTGCTATTATGCCAGGTTTTGTCAATACTCCAATGATTCATGATGGTAGATATAAATTAAATTTTGATAAATGTATTCAATCAGAAGATATTGCTCAAGGTGTTCTTTATATTTTACGAACACCTTATAATGTATGTCCAACAGAAATTAAATATCGACCACAATATACACCATATTTGAAATGAGAATATTATTTTAAACTGTTAGAATAAATTTTTGCTGTTTTCTAAAATAAAAATTGATATTTAGCTGAAATAATACTTCTACTTCATTAATTTTGAAATGTTAAGATCAGATTATAAATTAAATGATTCAATGTTTTCTCTCTACATATAAGTTTATAAAAACGAAAAAATGGTTCTATTGGTGTCGAAAGAACTAGAACTCAGCAACTCTTTTCAATGATGGTCAAAATAAAAAGGTGAAGTTTCTTCTATGAAAATGTCTAAGATGTTAACTCTTCTAGAACTTAAAAAAGTATTATGCACAATAATCAAAATTTTTACCATAAAATCTATTCTATTTGTTATTCAGAATCTTTTTTTCCT